GACACCCGGCCCGGCCCCCCTCGCCCCACACCCAGAGACACCCAGCCCAGCACCCATCCACCCCACATGTTGAGACACCAAGCCTGCCCCACAGGCTGAGACACCCAGACTGCTGCCTGCCTGCCCTACACCTGAGACATCAGCCTGGCACCCACCTGTCCCACACCCTGAGACACCCAGACTGGCACGTGCAGCCTGAGGCACCCAGACTGGCATCCGGCTGTCCCACACCCAGAGACACCCAGCCCAGCACCCATCCACCCCACATGTTGAGACACCAAGCCTGCCCCACAGGCTGAGACACCCAGACTGCTGCCTGCCTGCCCTACACCTGAGACATCAGCCTGGCACCCACCTGTCCCACACCCTGAGACACCCAGACTGGCACGTGCAGCCTGAGGCACCCAGACTGGCATCCGGCTGTCCCACACCTTGAGACACCCAGCCAGGCATCCACTCACCCCAAACCCTGAGACACTGAGCTTGGCATGCACCCGCTCTGCATCCTGATACATTCAGCCTGGCACCCACCCACCGACACCCAGCCTGACATCTGCTCTGCACTCTCAGACACCTAGCCTCGCACCCACCCATCCCACACCATGTGATACATCAAGACCAGTAGCTGCCAGCCCTGCACTCTGATATACCGAGCCTAACACTCACCCTGCACCCTGTGATACACCCAGCCCTGACATACACCGAGCCTGGGATCCACCCTAGGGTTGCCAATCCTGCATGATTGGCCTGGAGTTTCCTGGAATTGGCATCTATCTTCCAGTGACCTTTGAAAGCAGCCCTGGAGAGTCGAAGAAAATGACATTGTCAGGCCTGGGCAAAATACAGCCCGTGGACCAGATCCACCCCGCCAAGTTGCTGGATCCAGCCCGTGGACACTGCAGGGAGCCCCAGACAGGCTCCCCACTTGCCTCCCCCACCCAAATGCTGCTCAGAAACCCGGCTGTAGGGTGGTTTTTCTTTACAAACTGTGAGTCCATAGGGGAGGGAGGAAGGTTTAGGAGCTGCTCCCCCCCCCAGCACAATCCCATTGGCCGGTTTCTGTACCTCAATTCCCTGCTCTAGGTTGCAGTCCACGCCCTTCCACCCAGACAAGTGTCCCAGGTCACAGTTGCCTCCTTCACCCAAACTCCTTCCCCCCACCCCTGCATTAGGTCATGTTGCAGGGGAAAAAGGCTTCAGTCAGAATTTGCAACCCTAATTCACATGCTCTGCATTTTGAGATACATTGAACGAGGGATCCTCCCCTCCCCTCCCCTCCCTACCTCTTTGGATACACTGAGCCTGACCATGGTACGGTGATTCACCTGCCCAGCTCCTATTCACAGGGTGTCCAACAGCACCTAATTCCTGAGTATCTACCTGCTTTCTCCCTTTCCCCTGTGTTTTAGAAAGGCCCAAATGCAACCCTACTGTGGGAGAGCTACCCTGGGGCCAATTATATTGAGCTTAATTATGTTCTGGATTCACCCATCCCAAACTCCACCAACGAATCCATCTCCCCTTCAGCCTGTGGAAGGCCTGAACCTACCGCACATCCCAGATCTAATGCTCCATCCTGAGGGAAAGTCTGAAGCTGGCCCTCCTACTACACCCGCACTCCTTACCCCCCATGCTTCAAAGAAACCATTGATTCAACCACACCACATCCTGAACAAATTCTAAGCCCACTCACATCTACACCCCACCTCAAGATGGCCACCCTTGCTGTATGGAAAGCCTGGACCACCACCATCGCACCACCCACTCTTGGAAAATCCTCTCTTGCCAAACCTGGATGGAGACTCAGTTCAGCTCATAAGGAAAGCGGAATGAAAGAAGGCTAGAGTGTGGGAAAAGGGTACAAAAGGGACACACAAACAAAATAAGGTGACTAGCCACTGTGACTCAGCTCTCCTTGCAGGGCTGAGGGAGAGATTATAGTAGCCACATGTGGCTAAATTAAGCCAGCCTAGTGATAAACTAGAAGCCTCTAGAGACCTACAGGGGGAGTTTTCTTGTGCCCTGCCTTCTGGGTGGCAAAGGCAAAGAACAAAAGCTCAGAAAAGGCTGTCTGAGGGCTTGAGACAGCCTGAATTATTCCACATAGATTGTAGAAGGAGCACTGTGGGATTCCTGACCTAGGGAAGGGAAATCCACTTGAGTTATCAGCACACATCCCAGAAACAGGGTTGTGAGATGCCTCACAGAAGGGAAAAGCTGATGGGAAGCATCAGATACACTCTCCAGAAAAAGAGCTGTGGACTTCTGGCTCAAAGAGGAGAAATGACCTACCTAAAGTATTGCACAGGCCCAGGGGAGACCAAAAGTTGGACTGGAGGTGCTAAAAACTAATTTGATATGCTCTAAAGCTATGTCTACACTGGCAGCTTCTTGCGCAAGAACTGTTTTGCGTAAGAGTTCTTGCTCAAAAAGTCTTCGATAAGAGTGCCTCTACACTGGCATGTGCTTTTGCACAAGAGATGTCCTTTTGTGCAAGAGCATCTATGGCAGTGTGGACGCTCTCTTGAACAAGAAAGCTCTGATGGCCATTTTAGCCATAGGGGTTTCTTGCGCAAGAAATTCATGTTGCCTGTCTACACTGCCCTCTTGTACAAGAGGCCTTATTCCTCGTGGGAAGAGGAGTAACTCTTCCGGAAGAAGCCCTGTTTTCCGACACTGTACTGTAAATTTACTTGAGTAAGAACGTGTGTGCAGTGTAGACACCCGGCAGGTTTTTGCACAAGCTGTTCTTGCGCAAGAAGCCGCCAGTGTAGATGTAGCCTATGAGATCTAATAAGTGAAACCTCACAAAGGGGAATCGTGATGAAGGATTCTGGCCTTGAATTAGTATCTTGTAAGAACCAAGAAGGAACTCCCAAATATGTAAAGTACTCTGATACTATGCTAAGTGCTGTATAAAAACCTAGCCACTGGTACAGAACATTTTTAGGAGTGGGGGTACTAACATCCCCCCCTTACCACATCCTGCCTATCCCCCAGCTCAGTCTGGGAGCAAAGCCCTGGCATGCAGAGCAGGAGTCAGGACCCCAACCAGCAGCAGAGCCCCGGGTGTGTGGGGCAGTAGCTGTGATCCTGGGTGTGAAGCTCCTGGGGCACAGGGGAGCAGCTGGGTCCCCAGGTACAGGGCCAGCAGCAGAGCCTGTAGCACATGGGGAGGCAGCCAGGACCCTGGTTACTAGACTGGGAACCCAGGGTGCCATAGCACCTCTCGCATCCCTAGTTCCTGTGCTTATGAACCTTGCCTTGCTAGATATTGCTTCCTTTCCACATGCACTCCAAACAGGTATGCACACTCCAAATTGTTTGTGCCTCTCTGGAAGGATATGGTGGTGTTTTTCTAGCAACATATGGTGAGGTGAGTGTTCTGCTCATTAGCCTCTGTTACATATTAGGGGAAGCTGTATAGGAAAGAAATCCTAATAAGGGGCTGACAGTCATCTGAATTTGCTGCCTGCAATAGCTAGGAAAATAGCACATGCAGGAAGTAGGCAGCAGGAAATTGGTAAAATAATGGGTGAGTTAGGTAAGTGAGTCACCTGTGATATGGGAGAGTGTCCACCATCACCCTGCACTTTAAAAGTCCATTTTGCATTATACTTAAACAACAGTAAAATATGGCTGCTTGTGATATATCCCACACTGGTGCAGAAGGAGTTAATTGGAACAAAAGTGCAATTAATGCACCTGGTTGCATTGAAAGGGTGGGCAAGGTCCAGTGTAGTATTAGGCTGTGTAGAAGAATTAAGTACAAACTGCAGCTGGAAGGGAACTGAGTTCTTAATAAAGGAGGTTTGGGGGGAAAGGGGGGTTTTTTTTACAGTGTCTGGGGAAGGCTTT